CGACCGTCTCCCGCTGTCCTCAACCGAGCCACACCCTGTCATCGGGCCTACAGTTAGCTGCCGGGTCTCCCACTATCGACGAGCGTGACTTTCAGCCCTAGGGGATCAAAAAGAAGCGTGGCTCCTCCTTGCTTCCGCTCTATTTACATGCTAAGTGACTAATCAGCCCTAATTGGGATGGGAAACAGGCTACGAGGTAATTACTCTTGGTCGCCGACATCCAGTCAAGGTGCTGGGAGCTTTCTACGACGCTCTTAACCATGTGGGCAAAGACAAGCACCTACCCAGAGCAGACTACGGCTTTCCTTGGGGCCAGGAGATACTCTTACCAGCCTTTACTCATCGACACTGTCTTCCGATCACGCGCATTTCCACCTATCTGCTTCTGCAACCCTTCCTTTCGGTGCCCTCCAAGTCGCCAATGCAGAACATAACAAAAGAACGTTGCGGGAGCTTACTCACAAAGAATGGGTTTTAGTTTCCGGCTCGGCGAGTCATGGTGAATATCCAGGTTAGGAATTCCTCTGGGCTCTGCTTCCGGGCTCGTCAAAATTCGCAAACCATTTACCCTATTTGTGTATGGGGCCGATATCGAATGCTGCGCCAGTTATAGTGCGCCTGCAATTGAGAGTAACATGGTCGAGATGCAGCAGCAACTATTAACTATCAACAAAGGAGAAATAAATCCGGCATCGTGCGATCGACTAGGGCAGATTGACCTGTTCGTATCGAGCTTACTACCTACAAGGGAGATTAACAGCCTGTCCTCACGATCGGCAGCTGGATGGTACAGGTACTGTGTTCTGAGCCCAGAATGAGCTCGTCATGATCGACGAGTACAACATCGGCACTTGAATGGAGGGTTGCAGCTTGCGGCAATGCTCTCTAACTCCAACTCGACCTTTTTACTGCTCTTTTGTTCTGTTGGTCTCATCCACCTAGGTAGCTGACGTGCCCAACCAATAACCACCAGCCGCCTTAAAATGTCCAGGGAGGTTCAGCCTCGCCCTTGTATCAGCCCTCTCACCAGAATGTTAGACGAAAGATCCAACCACGCGAGACCACACCAATAAGAATGATGACGTCTCTGGAGAGGCTGCATGACAAACACGAAGCTGGAGGTAGTGTGGCTGCGCCAACGTGCGTTTTAGGTAGAAAGTGTGAGAGGCAGGATTTAGGGCTGACTGCAGGTCACCCTGGCAAGCCTGGACATGATGCCCTTGCATATGACGTCTCGGCATGCCGGCTACTCTCCAGACCAATGACGGGATGTTGTCGAGAGAGGAGGGAAGGGAAAGGACGGGATAGGATGGCATATAGCTGTTTCACCACTACAATCGCGCTGCCCAACAACTCTTTGCAGTGGCTGACACACCCTCACAGACGTGATGATATGAGCTTGGCTGTTGTTGATTGGTTTGCTACAGTGCACTGTCTATGTATGTATACATGACCATCATGAGATTCCAATCGAGACGGTGTGAATAGTTTGCCTGACGTACAAGAAATAGCCGCTGGTAGATTCAAAATGGAAAGAAGACAGCTTAGGGTGCTGATGTCGGTGAACAGGTAGGTATGAATGAAATGTATAATGCAGAGTCATCTACGAGAATACTCCATATTGGTCCTTTTGTTGCAGCTTTAATCTACTGGCAACATTCAGCTGGCGTGCCTGGGGCGCCTGATACATGTAGTGTCAAGTCCCTGAATATGAGACGCACGGGTCTTGTCTCGTCTGGTATCCAGGTGCTTTTGGTACATCGGCGTGCTCCTACAAGCGACAATAGCCGACCACTTCGACTAAATTTGAACTTTTGACTGGAGTGAATTGATAACTATTAGGTCACAGCCAGGCTAGCAGTACCGGGGCACATGTACGGATACATATTCGGGGGTATTATATCTGCGACTGTTTCTTCTTTATTCTCATTGGATGTTTTTTTCTTCTCTCCTCTTCCTTTATCCCAGGAGAAATGTGCCCACAACCAGGTTGCGCGACCTCAGCTGTGGACTCGGACCCCGAGAGCTGTCTGTCTATCTGAACAAGAGAGTGGCGAGACTTCCTTCGTGAGTAACGCACGTTTCGTCTTCCTGCTGGAGACAAGAGCATCATCGCCGTTCAAAAAAGTCGCCGACCCCGTGGTTATGCCGGAGCAATATTTGCGCCGTTGTGCAGGTTGGATCAGTCGAGTTGGGGGCGGAAAGAAACTGTGTAGTTTCGAGGAGGATTTCCGCTCTTTTTCTTTTTGTCGCTCGGCCGCTGCAAGAGGAAGAGGAATAGAGAAGAAAATGGTGAATCAATCCTCTGGTCCATCTGCCGCCACAACCGCACCCAATAAACCCCGACCTGACTCAAAACACCGTAGAATGCTTTATTCTTGTTCAAAATGATCGGCGAACCCGGTAACCAACGAGAGTGGCCCGCCCTAGACCGACCACCATAGCCACAGCAATCCCTTGAGATACTCGACAATCTCCTCGCCACCCAATTTACTCTCGCCGTATAACCGGTCCACAAAGGTGATGGGGCATTCTTCGACCTTGAGGCCCATGGCCTTGGCCCGCACCATCATCTCCATCTGGAACGTGTATCCCTTTGACTGCGTCTTCTCAATCACCTTGACCAGCGCCTCCTTCTTGTACAGCCGGAACGATCCCGTCAAGTCGCTGACACCAGGATTCAGGAGGAAATCCGCGAGGATATTGGCGCCCTGGCTCGTCAACTTCCTCTTCGCGTCCCACCCATACACGCCCCCGATCAGCCCGTTCTTGGACCGGTACCGTGTGCCCGTGACAATATCCGCATTCGTAGCCTTTTGGATCCTGACAAACTCGGGGATGAACTTGGGGTGGTGCGAGAAGTCGGCGTCCATGATGATCACGTAGTTGCCCGACACAAACTGCAGCCCGTGAACGTATGCGGTCCCCAGACCCAGTTTGCCCGCCCGCGGCTTCAAGATGATGTGGTCGGCGCCAAAGGATTTTTGGATTTGTTTTGCGCGCTCGAGGGTGCCGTCCGGCGAGGCATCATCAACGATGATGACTTCCCAATTCAGCTTCCTGCAAGCAAACGGCGAAACAAGAAGAGAGACATGGTTAGATTATTTCCTAAGGTCCGTGCGTGTTGAACAGGGTTTGAGGGTGGACTGAACGACTTACTCCTTTGTGAAGACATCGGACAGCATTTGCACCAGCACGGGCAGGTTCTGGCGCTCATTGTAGGTGGGGAGGATGACTGAATACTTGTCACCTTTAGAACCCATGGCTGTAAAACTTTGCCGCGTGTATTGTCAGAGTGGATTGTGACGTGGTCGTGGTGCGGTTTGCGGGACAGACAGAATATCCAGCTGGATTTCGCAGTTGGAGTTCGTACGCGCCAGATCATCAATGCGGCGCGCGACGTGGTGAATTTCCAGTGCATTTACCCGAAGTTTATCCGGATCACCATCCATGCCATCAACGTTGATGTCCTTGTGCCTTGTCAGCTTGTCCCCCTTACATCTAAACCTTGTCTAAGGCTTGGTGCAAGAGCTCAGGGCAGATGATCTGACAGCAAGTGAAGAGCAACACGCCCTTCAAAATGTCTTCCGCACACCACAGTCGCAAGCCGTCAAGTAGAACAGCCCTACCTCGACGGACGACTAAAGGCCCGCTGGATGCACCGACAGACCCGTTGACTCTATCTACGACACCTGTACCCTCACCTCGAAACCCCACAGCACAGCTGTCGCCAAAGCAAGAAGTCAGCGAACCTATAGAGGCGGCTGAAACAGCTACCCGACGACCACCAGCACCAAGCGATCAGCAACAGGTGGCTCAAACTGAAGACGTGACTGCGGTTGAGGAAAGAGATCTCTCCTTCCTCCTCGATGCCTCAATCTACCATCCTCTCTCTCAGCTGGAGATCCCCGGTCCCTTTCGGAAGCCATTTCTCCCGCCACTGAAGCCCGAAACCCCTCTCCAGACCGCCATGCAACACCTGGATTCACTCCTCTCTCAATGCGACTTTCTACGTGCTGCCCAGCTGGCAGGCTCTATCCTGGTGTCCGGCACGGTAGGGCCTACGGACGTAAAGTCTATTTTCCGCTTGCTGGAGATTCGGTACTCTTGTCTCGAACTGTCGGGGAATTTGCTGTTTGCTGCACAGGAGGCCAAGGCGTTGGAGGATCTGAGTTCCGGATTTTACTACGATGAGCCGGCCTCCGAGCGAAGTGCAGATGAAGATGATCTGGCTGGTCCGCACAAAGTGCCGAGCCATATAATGCCCTTTTCTCTACGTTTGCAAGCGCTCAGACTGCAGAGCATCGGCTTTTCAGACCCGAGGAGGGGCGTTTCTACGCTCTACGATGTCGCGCTGGAATGTAGAGAACATTTGTCCTCTCCGCATACGTCACCTGAACAGAGAGAGCTGTGGGCAGAAAGGCTGAGTGAAGTGTCGATCCGGGTTGTGAATGCCTTGATCGAGATGGGAGATATCGATTGCGCTGTGAGGACGCTCCAAGACATGAAACCTAGAACTGATGATCACCTGGCACTCTGGACATCGAGGCTGACCCTGTTGAGAATGAAGATGGGCGATATTGTCGGAACCCAAAAGTTAATTGATTCCGGAAAGCTGGGCTCGCAAGACAGGCTGGTACTTGGATCTCTTCTCGCCATTGCCGAAGGCCGATATGACGATGCGACAGCGGCTCTGTCTGACAACGAAGCCAGTGCTAATTCAGAACTGGCAGCTCTCGTGAAACAGAACCTCGCAGTCGCGTATCTATATCGAGGGGAAGTCCGAAGGTCCCGGCAGATTCTGGAAAAGCTCGTCAATGACGGACATTCTTTCCAGACTTTGACAATCAACCTTGCCACCATTTACGATTTGACTTCAGATCGATCGCGCGAGTTGAAAACGTCAATGGCCTCGCAGATCGCCAGTCGTCAGAGGGATACTGGTTATCTACGCGCGTTTGTGAATGCCGACTTCAAGTTATGAACATTTGCGATTGGTTCTATAGGCAAACAGACGACATGGCCCCATGCCGGTAATCAAAGGCTTTGAGGAGTCCTTTGAGATGGGACAAGGCGGCCAAGACGATCAAGACATGAAAGATTTGGTGTGAGCTTCCCAGGGTATCAAACTTGCCTGGGTAGATGGCCTCTGGAACCCTCGCCTGAAATTCTTCATCAGCATATGATCACCATAAATATGGCTGCAGACTTACCGCATACAGACCGGCTCCCAAGATATACAGAGCTCCTTGCAATACCAGCCAAGACAGACCAATCTGATTCTCCAGATCTCCCAGTCCAAAGGTCCTCAGCCCGTCCAGGACAGGAAATACTGCGGAGACGCCCATGCCGACGAACATCAAAGCCCTGTAAGGCCTCCAGGCCGGTGTTCGGAACCGCGGAAGGACTGACGTTGTGGTGCATGCTATGGCCAGGGTGCAAATCTGGAGCAGGTCTCAGTAGTGTGCTTGCATTGTCGGATTGTTGCTCACCATGATCCAATATGTCCATTGCTTCCCAGGATGACACCAGAATGCATAATATACACTGGGAATGAATGAACCGGCAATCAGCACAGATATACCGGCATAGTCCAGCTGATTCCAGAATCTAGCAACCCGCGGAGAGTGGTTGGACAGTGTGTGGTAGAATGCGCTCAGTCCTAGACAGATAGCTGCGCCACCGAAAAAGCAGCTCATTGCTATAACGTCGGCCACTGATGCTTTCTCATAGCGAGGTTCCAGGACGCTATAGAGAAATGCTGCAAAGGGCAAGCTGAGAGTGGCAGGGACTAAATGCGTCCAGATGTTTACGCTCTCGTTATGCCAGTGCAGAATGCTTTGAAGAGATCTTGTGTAGCTGTAGGATGCCCGCCGGTAGCTGCCGTGGATGAACTGGTTGTCTTGCAGCCAGTGTGGTAGATCATGCCAGTGTATGAGACTGTGCCAAAGATCTTCGGCCTCAGCAGGTTGTTTGTCAGGATTCATTACTTCACTAGAAGGGGGCACTGTTGTTCCTTCATCTCCAGGTCTTTCGTCGTCTAATTTCCTTGTCGACATGGCTGCTTTCTGACTCTGACTTTGATGAACCGGTCGACATGAGAAATTTAAATGTTGGGACCGTAATTATAGAAGAAGCGGGAAAATACCGGGACCTGGTGGCGATGAGGTCAATGCGAGGCTCGGCCCGGACCTTCCTATCAATCACTCAACCACAGACATTTACGAGTTACGAAGTACGAGCAGCACAACGCGCCCCTGGCATCTTCTTTGCTTCTCACCATCGTCCAGCGCCTAACGAAAAAAGTGATGGTGCAGGGTTCCGACACATGCTACACAGAGACTAGACTTGATATAATGTCGAGCAGAATCGCATAGGCGAGACAAACATGGCTCAAGCCCCTCCACCCCTCGGACGAAAATCTTCGGCGCCATGGGACAGGTTGCGCCCAGTGAAGCAGGATCCTTTGGAGGCAATGGGGTTCGTCTCCAAAGGTGATAATAGGTATCTTCCTCTTTCTGACAGGGCTCAGGGTGCTTGTTTATAACGAGACCAAGGCTGCTCGACCTCAAAACCCAAGAGAGCTACTATAACAAGATTGTTGCTCGCTACATGCAATTCTGCACGCGGCATTCGAAGGATCTTGACAATGCTTTTGCATCTTTATCTCTCGACGAGGGCCAGTCGCCGGCCTTGGACCCATCGAAGAAATCCACCGCGAAGCAGACAAATGCACAACCTGGGCCAACAGCGCAACGAGACTCTATTGTCACTACAAACAGTCAAGTAAGCAATGTCGCGTCGCCATCGCAAGCGGCCGAGCTGTCAGTCATTCTCTTAGCATTGCGAAAGCTACGTGAGGGCCTGCTCGCCAGCTCTACTTCTGCACCAAATCCAGTCTTCTCTCAACGAGTTCATGTGTTCAACATCCGAGTCGCCATCCTCGCGCTACACCCAGAAGGTTACCATGCTTCGTTGATGCACCTCTTGTCTGTCCTCCACACGCCCCAGCACCCTCTGCCACGCTCCGAGTTGGTGGAGATGACGAGCTACTTGATTCTTGACACCGCAATCCGGCAACATGATCTTGGTCAGGCGTATGCCTTGAGGTACAAAAGCCGTGTCCGCTTTGGATTCAAAAGTCGGATCGTCGACAATTTACTGAAATCAGTTGCCACGGGAGACTGGGTCACATTCTGGCGCGTTCGACAGAAGGTTGATGGCTACGTGCGAGCGATCCTTCATTGGCACCTCGAAACACAGCGCAGGATGGTCCTCAAAGCCATCGGCCGAGCCTACTATGCCTGTGACGTCAATTGGATCATCCAGAGCGCCACAGGTGGTCAACTGAGCTGGGAGGAACTGGCGAAGCTAGAAGATGTTGGCTGGACGCGAGAAGGTGATAGGATCGTGATCCGAAAGCCCAAAGCCAAGGCCAGCTGATCGTGGGACTCATGCAAGTCATTCGCTTCCTGCAATGCCTGTTTCCAGAAGTTGGAGGGTGCTCGGAGCACTCAGACCGCGTGGAAGACAGGTCTAGATCTGCGTGGCGCCCTGAAACTGTTTGATGAGAGTCGGAGGAATGCGAAACAACCCCCGATGAACGTTCCAGAGTTTGCACTGTTTGCAAGTTTTACATACTTTTGTCTCCCCAGCCACTTCTCGGCGGGGTTGTTCAGCGGCCAGCCACTTTGATTCAGCCAATCACAGGTGGTGCCACTGTTTACAATTTGGTCTTGGCGGCTGGCTGCGCTCTGCTCTCGTCTATCTTTGAATCTGACTCTCCCAACCTCTTCAACGAGATGCAGCGCCAGTGAAAACGGCAGCCACACCACATGAGTGCCGCACACGCGTGCAGAAATGCTCGTGATAATGACCAGCCCTTGCATTTCTGCTCTGACATGGATAGGTATCTAGATGTTCAAGAGTCTTTTTCCCTGGTTCTCTTTTTCCTCTCTAATATTCAGGTTCCTCATACATCAACATTGTGATCAAGAAACTACTCCAACTGCCGAATAGATCCTCAGACATCTGTTCGACTGTGATACTAAATTCGCTTGCTCAGCAGAATGCAGTTGAGAACATCCTTTCACATCTTTGCCGTGTCCTCCTTACTAGTCCTGTCCGAAGCCTGGCCACTCTTCCCTGCGATCGAGCGAAGAGCACCTGTCTCCTACTCAGTTGTCCCGGTGGGCGGAGGAAGCACAACAGACGATGGCTCCTCGACTGTTACTCGTACAGCAACACAACTATCCACCATTGTCATCACAGAGTCGGAAAGAGCCACAACGTTAGTTGTGACTGTCACTTCTCCTTCGCCTATTACTGTGACCGACTATTCGCCAACCTCGACACCAGCACCTCCCGCCTCTTCGACACAGCAATATTTTTCCGACTCCTCGCCCTCGTCATACTCCATTGCACAAGTGACTGCATCAGAAACAATTTCGCCAGTAACTGTGACTGTCACACAATCTCTCCCTTCGACCAGGCCGTATGACGACGGCATGTGGCACACATATTATTACTACACAGTCACGCCTGAAAGTTCTTCGAGCGGGGCAGCAGAGAGCACTGTTGCCACTTCAGGGTCCCCTTCCCAACCAAGCTGGACACTTGGCTTGCCAACAATGTGGTCATCAATATCGACACCGGCGGCCAGTACCACGCCTGTCAACCCCTTCAGGGGTGTGCCACCCTCCATCCCTACACCTCCATGAAGCAATGTTGGTCAAATTTTCTTTCCGTGAATGAAGAATGTATAAAAGGGTCATCTATGAGTGCAGGATTGTGGACTTAGTTGGCAAAGAGCGGTTGTTTCTAAGGAGGCGTTGTGATATATTGGATTTTAGCGAGGTGCTGGCGGTTATGTCTGAGACGGGCGATACTGTACACTTATGATATCTAGAAGAATGATAACAACGACAATAGAAAACTGCTTCTACATTATTGATCTCTTTCCAATCTGGCAATCATCCTTGGCCCTGGCTTCGTGTTCTTGGACCGGATGTCCTCGTAACCTTACCGGTGAACATGACATCTGACAGAAGAACGACTGCTTCGTTCAGTATGATGACGGTCGAAAGTCGTTGCTGGATACCGGCACAATCCTTTTTAGGATAGCACATCGCAAGTATCTGCTCTGTAAGACGTAAGGTCTAGGTACTATAGGCAGCCTGAGGTCGAGTGAGATCGAATGTACTGAGGATTCGCTGCCAAGCCATTTCCGCCCGCAACTTCCCATGTCGAAGTCCGGTAAAGGCGCAGGAAGTTCTCCGCTGCCTGCCAAACTGCCCGTGCACGCTCCCGAATACATCCCAAAGTTTCGCCCGGTCGTTTGCGCGTTGATCGGCACAAATCCTTTTGTACCTTTTCCAATTCGACACCTCTTGAGAATCTCTCCAAGCTTTCTTTTCGCTGCCACTCTCGTTCGCCGTTGGGTGCGAGCCACCAGCGCCGTCGCAAGATGGCGACAGGCACGCCCGTCGAAGACCAGGGCCGATTGCTCGAGGAAGCTCTCGGCGTCGTGCGTCAACAGTCGCAGCAGATGCGCAGATGCCTTGAGACGCCGGGAAAGCTCATGGACGCTCTTAAGTGCGGGTATGGACTTTTCAATGCCTCAAATAATCTCACCCTCACTAACCGCTATGCAACACTCCAGATCAACTTTGGTATCTGAGCTGCGCACACCTACCCTAGGCCCGAAGCAATACTATGAGCTCTACATGGCCGTGTTTGATGCTCTACGGCACCTGTCCGAGTATCTCCGCGAGTCGCATCCCGTCAACCACCTCGCCGACCTCTACGAACTCGTCCAATACGCAGGCAACATAATACCCAGACTATATCTGATGATCACGGTTGGCACCGTATACATGGGGGTCGAAGATGCGCCGGTCAAGGAGATAATGAAAGACATGATGGAAATGAGTCGCGGTGTCCAACATCCCATCCGAGGTCTGTTCCTGCGATACTACCTGATGGGCCAAGCCCGTGACCACCTACCCACGGGCAAAGATGAGGGACCTCAGGGTAATCTCCAAGACTCAATCAACTTCATTCTTACCAATTTCGTGGAGATGAACAAGCTTTGGGTCAGGTGGCAACATCAGGGCCACTCGAGAGAAAGGGAACAAAGAACGCAAGAGCGGAGGGAACTGGAATTGCTGGTTGGAAGCAATCTGGTGAGGTTGAGCCAATTGGTCGACTTGGAGACATACAAGTCTACCATCATCAGCCCTCTCCTGGAACAGGTAGTTCAGTGTCGAGATGTCCTGGCCCAGGAATATCTGCTCGAAGGTACGAGGACAGCATCTGAATATGGTGTCTTGCTGACGGAGATCCAGTCATTACCAAGGTCTTTCCAGACGAGTACCACCTTCACACTCTGGACCAGATGCTCTCGGCCATCGCGAGATTAAATCCACATGTCGATATGAAGAAGATTGTCATCGGCTTGATGGATCGCCTATCTACCTATGCACAGAGAGAAAGCGCCGAACCGATGTCGGCCGAAGACAAGCAAAAGGCGGAAGAAGAAGCCGCAACCCGCATGCTCGAGAAGGTCGACTTGAACCAGGAAACGAAGCCTGCCCCCCCTGCTGCTGAGCCGGATACTCCCACGACGAACGGCACCGAGACCAAATCACCTACAGAGACACAGGCGACCGAGTCCGAATTGGTGACGCCGGCCACACCAGCAACAAATGGTGAGAAAGGGGCCGGCGTCGGTGATGTGAGGCTATTTGAGATCTTCTACGAACAAGTCGTAAATCTTGTCAAAACCCGAGGCCTCCCCATCCAAGACACAATGGCCCTGTTGACCTCGTTGGCCAATCTCGCACTGTACGTTCGCATCATCCGATTAAACAAATGGTCAAACTAACAACATCTAGTAATATCTACCCTGAAAGGCTAGAATACCTGGATCAGATTCTAGCCTATGCCCGAGAAAAGGGCGCGGAATATATGGACTCCGCCGACCTCCATTCCGCTGCAACACAAGCTAATATGCTCAACCTCCTTCTTGCGCCGATCAGAACATATATGTCGCTGTTCA